TATGGAGCTCAATTTCAAGGATTAGACACTTGCATGTCTCAAATTGACACCAAACTCAATTCTATCATACATATTCGTGCATTCAAAGCTCCCATCTTCAATTATTCAGACATGCATGCCCATTTGACTTCATATTCACTTCAAATAATGTAATTAGTGCTCATTCCCATAAAATTTAACAAAGACATGCTTGCATGTGGGATTACACTACCAATCTTTCACAATTTCACAAATTACATGCTAGATTTTGTGATTCCATAGGAGTTCTTTACATGCATGCACATATAGTCTTCAAATTCATCAAAACCAACTCCTTTCATGTTCTAGATCACAAATTAATCTTCAATTCCCGAAATCACAACTCAAATTCATGAGTTAGGGGTTGGTTACTCACCTAGGAGCTTTAATCTCCCAAATTCTAGTCAATTCTTGAGTTAAATCTTCAAATTCCCAAGCTAGAGCCAAAAATTGCTCAAGTCTCTTCCTTTCTCTCTCTATAGCCGGCCTCTCTCTCACTCTCAAGTGTCTAACTCAGATTTTGAGTTTTTGAGAGAGCTAGAGGAGAGTGCAATGCAAATATACAACAAGCCCCACTAACAAATATTTTAATATAAAATAATGGGGTACTTAATTTATCAATTTAATCAGTTTAAATTGACTAGAATCAATTTTCAATTAAATTTCACCGTAGGCTCTAAAAATTATGCCAATCACAATGGCGTAATCAATTTAGGGTTCTGTGGCCGATAAAGCCCTCAATTTAATTTCCGAAGCGGTAAAACCAAACAGATATTCCTACGGTGAACAGATAGAAATTCGAAACCACATATTTTCACATGATGGCATACAAAACCATGCTAAACACATAACCATAACCAACTTAAGGACCAATTAGCATAATACAGAACAAGGATGTCACACTTATCATTCCAAAAGCTTATTCTTCTATCATCCCCAACCTTTAATTGGAAATTGTTCAGGAAGACTTCTAGCAGATTGTTGCTCTGATCAGCAAGAACTATAATACCTTTCCATAACACTGAAAAGTTACTGCTAGCTGTAACAGATGGCAACCAACTATCCACCTTTAACTTATTCTTGCTGCATATAACCTTTTTCCACAGAGCTTCATTCTCACAACTAAACCTCCACCACCATTTTACAAGTAAACAAATATTTACCACTCTCACTCTTCTTATGCCCAATCCTCCTTGATCCATACTTTTACACACATCCACCCATCTGATCATATGGATTTTCCTCCTTAGTTCTGACCCACCCCACAAAAAGGCAGCTTGCAACCTCTCTATTTCATTGGCAACCCCTACAGGCATCCTAAACAGGAACAAATAATACACTGGTAGTGCAGATAACATAGCTTTCACAAGACTTAATCTCCTAGCAAATGATAGCAACTTCCTCTTCCAACCAGCCAACCTACATCTGACTTTATCTAGGACAGGCTTCCAAGTAGATTTCCTCCTTGGATTGGCTCCTAAAGGTAACCCAAGACATCTGAGGGGTAAAGACTTTACATTGCAATTCAATACTGATGCAAAACAGTCCATGGTATCATCTGAGACCCCCACCCCACACACTACACTTTTATGATAGTTAATTCTCAATCCAGACATTAACTCAAAGCATCTTAACACCCTTTTCAAATTTCTTACCTCTTTAACCTCTGCTGCACAGAATAATAGGGAGTCATCTGCGAACTGAAGATGAGAGAGTATAACACCATTTGATCCAACCTTGACCCCTTGAATCAAACCTAACCTGTCTCACAAAATAGAAAATTTATTTACCATTTTTTTAAACTATAGGATCCTGATTCATTATTGTCCTGCTATTTACTTTTATCACATCTTAAATTTTATTTGTGGATTTTGTTTTTATGAAAACAAAACCAATTGAAATATTGTTTGGAAATATGTATAAAGAATCACAAGATAACTGTCAGTCCTTGCAAGTTAAGCTTTGTAGATATTTGGTTTACCTTTAATTTTAACTAGTTTCTCTCATATACAACATTCATATAAAAAAGGGCCTGAAAAATTGGAAAAAAGGCTTTTGGAGCAGGTTTCCTCTATCTTTGGTTAGGTAGTAGACATTATAGTAGGGACATGGGATTCCTTACCAAGCTGAAAACTAGAGGGAGGGTGGTATAGGAGCTTTTTGTGGTTTACAAAGCAAAAAGGTAGTAAGTTTGCTTCTCTCATGAATGCTAAAAGCAATTTATTTTTTGTTTTGTTTTATATTGAAGCGTGAACCATACCAGTCCCACACAACTTGATGACTTCATGATCATTTAATAGTTCAAGTCTCTTTTGGGGAGTATAATGAACTTATCATTTTTTGCCACACAAATGAGTACAGTTTTGCCTCATTTTAAGACAAAGTGAAACACCAATGTGGGAGGATAAGACAAGCTGAAAATTTGGTAGCAAATGAAACAAACCCTAAAACTGACATCATTTTATAAAGGATTCTACAGCTATGTAATATAATGATAATATTTTTGAAATTTCACTTGGATACACAATTATGATTTTGTTTCTGAACTCATAAGCTAGGAATTGCATTTAAAAAGTAGTGATGTGTTTCATATTTGACTATTGTTGAAAGTTTGAAACCTTTTGTAGCAAATATAGGAGAGAAATGAAATGCCCATTTATTTATATTCTTTTTCAATATTTTTGTTGAGCCCACTGAGCCTACTGCATATTGAGAAAAACATATTTCCTACGTACAATTGGTAATGGTAGTTAGTTGGACTTTTATGTTGCTTCAGGTATTGAGAGCGAAATCACCACCTTGAAATTGAAAGTATGTTAAAGAGTTTATAGGTAATGTTTCTATTGTAAGTTTTTGGTGTTTGATCTAATTATAAATTATTTGTTCAAACATAACAAACAATAGATCAAACAGAACATCAATATGCAATATATCTTCTTAAGTTAAATTTCAAGAGTAGATATAAGGATCCACACAAATAGAAGTAATTAGCCTTAAGTTTTTACTGTCCAAACAAAAGAGCCTTTGCTCTACTGTTGCTGCTGTTATGGTCTAATAGTTTAGGGCAGGTGATCATTTGCTCTGTTGCTGCTGAGCATCCTCTCCCTATTTTGGTTTGATCACTTCTATTTTGGTTTGTTTTTTATTTTGAAGGATGGCATTTGGGGGAGAAAATTGGAAACAGCCCCCAAACAGCCTCGAGATCATCTCATTCACCTTGGACTAGATTAAACAAATTTGTGAGAGGAAGTGGCGCATTGATAGGACACACAGTTAGAGATTGACAAGAAAATGTAAGAAAAAAAGGTGAAACCAGACCGTTTGGGGGTGAAAATTGGAAACAGGCGTAAACAACCACGAGATCATAACAATCATCTCGGCCTAGATTAAACAAACTTGTAAGAGCAAGCAGCACATCGATAGGACACACGGTTAGAGATTTTGAAAATAAAATGCGAGAGAAAAAAGGCAAAAACGGGCCGTTTGAGGGCGAAAATTGGAAACAACCCCCAAACAGTCCCAAGATCATCATGGTCACCTCGGCCTAGATTAAACAAAAATGTGAGAGAAAGCAGCCCATTGCTAGGAAGCACGGTTAGAGAATTAGAGACAAAAATGTGAGGAAAAAATGCGAAAAGTGTCATTTTAATTGCTACCTTTACTTTCTCGTTCATGTTACCTTTACTTTCCATGGAACTTTTTATTTTTTTGTCCAATTTTACAATCATTTGATGTGCAAATATTTTCATAAAAACATTACTTGACATTTTTTTTTATCTTTTTCTTTTGTACAGATAGATGAACTCGTGCAACAAACTAAATTGTACAAGACTAGTTGGCACTTGTTATATTTTTTAAAGGATTATCACTACAACAAAACTAAATATTTACGGCATTATGTTTACGACATGCATTAAATGCATGTCGTAATTAATACATTCTACGACATTTTTTTTTTTTGCAAGCCGTTAATGTTTTGTCAATAACAGCATACATACCGTGTTAGTCGTTAATTCATATATTTATGGCATACAAAAGTATGCCGTAAAAAATATATGTTTTCATGACTTACAAAAATATGTCGTAAAATATTTACATTTAAGACTACATACATTTCATGTTGTGAAATATTATAACTATACACGACATGCTAATGAATGTCGTGAAAACTTCTAACCAAAACAAATAAATAAATCAATATGATTTTTTGATGGCATGCAAAAGTATGTCGTAAGAAATGTATGTTTTCACAGCATATAAAAATATGTCATAAAATATTTGTACTTAAGACAACATATATTTCATGTCGTAAAATATTATAACTTTACACGGCATGCATTAGCATGTCGTGAAAACATCTATTAAAAAAAAATTAAAAATTACTAAAAAATAATTTTAGTAATTTACACGGCATGCATTAGCTTTTACATTAAATTTTAATTGAGGACAATGTAAAAAATAATTTTGCTCTAATTTTTTAAACTTATTTTAGTATATTTATAATTTTATAAAAAAGCCAATTTTAACTACTCTAAAAAATTACTAAAAAATAAATAAATAAAGTATAATTAAATTTCAATCACATTCTCTTTCTGTGTTTTTAAATTTCGATCTAAATTTATAATCCAAACAAAATTTTAAGATTTTATACAAACATAAAAATAAATCTCTAAACATATTTGTATCATCTATTTCAATAAACATGTGAATAAAGTAGCAGTTTACCAAAACAGCAGAGGGCAACAAAAACAATGGCTCAAATGACTCAAAACTGTCAAAACGACGTCGTTTTGAGTGTAAAACAACACAAAACGACGTCGTTTTGACAGTTTTGAACCATTTGAGCCACTGATTTTGTGGCCCTCAAACATTTTCCTTACCCAAATTTGGAAGAAAAAAAACAAACAAGAGGGAGAATAGTGCTATAAATTATTGGTTTGATTAGGGTTCAAGGCAACAAGAAGACTTTCCCATATTAAAAATTGATTTTGTGTCAATGCGTGATTTCTCTGTCTCTCTCTCTCATGATCTCCCAACTCTCTCTCTCTCTCGATCGCTCTCGATCTCGCATTCTCTCTCTGTGTTCTCTCAATCGATCATTCTTTCAATTAATCAATCAATCCATCGAATGGTGGAGGAGAGTATCAAATACGTGATTCTGATCGTTGACATCTCCACTGTGAGTATCTTTCATCATTGCTCGCCCTATTGTTCAATTATTGATTCACAATTTGATTGTATCTTCAGCTTTGTACTTTTCTTCTTGTTAAAAATCTGAATTTGAATCACGAGTGTGATCGATGTTAATTGTACGAAGATTTGAGATTTTCTTGATTTTTTTAGTGTTGTTTTTTGAGATTTTGAATTTCACTTCACCAATTATTGTTGTTGCCCCATTTTAGTTTAGCTTTTGATTACATTGGTGTGTATTGATGTTTTCCAATAATGAGCTCTGCACAATTCTAGGATCTTGAAATTTTTCTCACCTTAGTGTAATCTAAGCCTCGTATACAAAGGAATTGAAGCTGGGGTTTCATTAATTCTTCATCTGATTACTACTGTCTAGATTCAAAATTATAGGTGTAAAATGGAATTGAATAATTGATGGGATTAAAAACATAGTTCACTTGGACTCTTGAGGTTATTACTATTTTTGAAATGAAGATCATATGGGTGACATAAAATTTTTAGTCTAATGATTTTTCTAACGCAAACTCATTGAGAAAAAAGAAAAAAAACTTCCATGTGCAAAAAGCTTGTTGCCCTGATATTGCACAATGCTATTGTCACATCAGTCAAATGTCAGGCAGTTTACATGAATTCTTAGTAACTTGGATTAAGTAAACTTGTTTGTGTCCATTTGCCCATTATTTGTTCATTATATACATTTGCGGTCTTGTTTGTGAAATCTTCTACTGAGGTTACAGAGGTGTTTTAGAGTGTTCATTTACCTTGTATCTGAAGTCTGAAGGCACCTTGTCTATGCCAAAATTGTACACCGAATTCTCATTTCTCAATTTCAATCAATTTTAGCGATTTCAGATGGTAGCAAAGATAAGCACATTTTTGTGGAAGATTAGTGGTTCTTTCAATTCTCTCTGTGCTGCTCAATCCATTTTTGTGGGTGTGGACTATTATTGGTACCCTGTGGTTCACTAGAGCAAGAAATTGTGTAAGTTTTGCATTTGTTTTTCCCCTATAATCCCCTTTGTGGGATTGTGTTTAAAATATTGTATGCTTTTAAATCTTGCAGTTGCCTGAAGAAGGTCAGAAATGGGGTTTGTTTATTTGCTTGCTTTTTAGCTACGATGGACTCCTTTGTATTGCCTGCATGTCTATAAGAGGGGTTAGTTATACTTTCTGCACTTCAATATTTTCTGATCACTTTTAAATGGCTCTAAATTACCTTGTTCTCCAAAGACTCAAGTGAAACCTCTTTTTCAAGTTCTTTATCCTTAATATTGTATGCTCTGTTTCGGCATGTTCACCCACTGCGTATTTCCAATAATGATGTTACTATACACAAAACATGCAATTTGGACTTTATTTCGGGGCTCCCTTTTGCAGTGGTTAAAACGGAGACGAGCACACTTACTACGGGCTCAACAGGGGATTCCTGTTTCAAAATATGGGGTAAATTCTATTGATATCATTATTGAGTTTGCTATTGACTAAGAATAAGGTAGTTAGAGGATAATATTGAAAGGAAAAGAGTGTCTTTTTGAGTCATGCAAGTATAGTCGTAAGGACGATCTTTAAATTTTGAGCAAGAGAGAAAAGGAAAGTTGTACTTCTCATATGCATTTTGAGTCTTCAACTAATATATTGGAGCTACTTCATGTCGGAAGTAAAATTTCTTAGATTAGAAGTTTTAGAGAAGCTATATCTTTTATGGACACTACGTGTCTTCCTCGAGTATTAACCGAAACAAAGAGTCCCAAAAATTTAGGAAGTCATCATAGCGAAACATTTGCATTTCATAAAAAATGCCTAGTTTTTGCATTTTGGTATACTGCATACATAAAGACCAATAAGAATGCAATGTTTTTTTTGCCTTTTTTTTCAATGTATTGTGTACTAGAAGTCCATACCATAAAGCATATTTCACCTCTTTTCAGGTGTTGGTTGACATGATTCATGTATCGGATTGGGCATTTGAAGCTGCTGGCCAAGAAATGAGAGGCATGGGCCAAGATGCAGCATACCAGCCCGGACTATACTTGACAGCAACTCATGTATCAATTAAGTAATTACTGTAGCTAGAATTGATGCACATACAATTTTCAGGGAATTGGCTCTCTTAGAATTTGACCTGTAACAAGACACCCACATAATAGTAGTAACTTTAGGTTGACAATGGTAATTTGACTGCCTTTGTTGGTGAAGGAGTACCGAGGCCGGAAGTGCGCAATAAGCCAGCAGGAGCTGCCACATTAGGCAGAGCACCTTGCAAGGATGCCATGGAAGGAAACTACATTACAAAAAACACACCACGTAGAATTAAAATCTTCCTCTGAAAAAATAAAAATAGAAAAGAACTTGTGAACTGTGGAAGATTCTTTAAAAAAAACAACAAATTAAAAAAAATAATAAATAAATAAAAAGAGAGAATCAGCACAAGATTCAACTAATTGAATCAATGCACAAGGTGTCATTCTGACCAATGATACATTTCAAAAGAGAAGACTCAATCGCTATATTTATACTCAATGGTGCATCATGTGTAAAAGGGGTGAGGAATCTTTGAATCATCTTTTCTTACACTGCCCTGTAGCTATGAGGTTATGGCATCAACTCTTTCTTTTGGTTAATTGACCATGAGTGGCTCCAGCAGCAAGTATCCGCATGCTTTTAACTGATTTTCAAGTTTTTGGGGGCAAGAAAAGGGCAAAAGTGTTGTGGCTTTGTGTGGTATTTGCTATCTTTTGGGTCATTTGGTTGGAAAGGAATGCAAGGACTTTTTAAGTGAAATTTGGGGACTTGGATTCTATGTGGGATAGAGTTCGCATTTTGACATCATTTTAGGCTTCTGAATCCCTCCGTTCAAAGGGGTCCAGCTCTTTTTGATTACTAGTGAATGGGTGTCTGCGTGATTTATAGTTCTTGTTTTGTTTTTGTTTTGCTCATAGATACTTGTTTGATTGTAAAGCACTTCTTGTCCTCTTTTGTATTTTTTCCCCTATTTTCTTAATAAATTTCTTTAATTAAGAGTAGACTAAAATGAAAGATTGAATTAATAACTAATCACGCATATCCACATGTCACAATTATAAAGGAAGTCTGAGCACTATATTCACGCGCGCACACGCATATATATCAAGCTAGCTAAAACTTCCTGAGCACTTTCCCTTTTTTATTCAAACAGCAACCATAATTTGAGCGGTTGTTTGGTGTATGAATATTAGTTTTTTTGTTGCTGATTTCATAATTGCTGACTCTGCTTGGTTTGTTCACCAGTTGTTGCATTTTATAAGCTACTATCTGCATATTGTTAGGCAAACTTGTACTCCTGTATATATATATTATATTAAAAATAATTTTTTACGGCATATAAAATTATATCGTGAAAAGTATAATGATTTATGACATGCAAGAAAATGTCGTAAAAGATTATATACGGCATACAAAGTATATTATAAATATATTAAAAATGACCTTCTACGGCATACAAAATTATGCCTTGAAAAGTATGATGATTTATGACATGCAAGAAAATGCCGTAAAATATTATATACGACATACAATGTATGCCATAAATATATTAAAAATAACCTTCTACGGCATGCAAAATTATGCCATGGAAAATATGATAATTTATGGCATGACAAAAATGCCGTAAAAAATTATATACGAAATACAAAGTATGTCATTAATATTTAGTTTATTACTTTTTACAACTTTATATGCATGCCGTAAATGGTGCTCAATTTTTTACGGCATGTCATACAACGACATTTGTGTGCATGCCGTGAAAGAGTTTTTACGGCATGCATTGCAAGTCGTAAAAATTCAATTTTGTTGTAGTGTTGGGTTTTCAATTTGATTGGATATGGGTGGGTGTTCAATTTGATTTACTAGGGTTGAGTGTTTAATTTTGAGTATTATTTTTGTGAGGGTGCGTGTTTTATTTTAATTTGTATCTATTATAATAATTTTAATTGAAGTTATAATTGTCATTAAAAAAACTATCAATAGGCAGGGGTCCTTAAAAAAATGGTGAGGGTTATGCCATCCTATTGATTATTAATAACATTTTATTATTAAAATTAGTGATTGACATATCTAAATAAGTAAAAGTAAAATAAAATATTTATTATATATTGTATGCCAATCAAGTGGTAAAATTTTTCTTGAGCAAATCTAAGATTCAAGGTTTAAGTCTCATTTATATTTATCTTAAAGAACAATTGTCATTCATTTAAAAAAAAATAAAATTATTTAAATATAATTATTGGATTTTTTTTCATAGAGCATTTCACACCCCATAATGTGAATAATGGAGAAAGCTAGTACACTAGTATTATATTGAGTAGTGCCATCCTAGTGATTATCAATTACATTTTATTATTAAAATTAACGATTGACACATACGATGCGTGTTAAATTTGAATAAGCAAAAATAAAATAAAATATTTGCTATATGTTGTATGCCAATCAAGTGGTAAAACTTTTCTTAAACAAATCTAAAATCTAATGTTTAAGTCTCATTTATTTTTTGTTTTAATATGTGACATAAGTACTATCGATTAGCACACGCGACGTGTGCACAATTCAAAGAAATAAAAAAAAAATAAATTATTTACTATATCATATGTTGTGTGTTAGTTGAGTGGTAACTTTTATCTAATTTTTTTGTTTTATATATAGTAAGTATAAATATAGATAGAAAGAAGACAGAATAAGGAAAAGAAAAAAAAAAAAATCAATTAGTTGGTGAAAAAGCTATCACATGGGAAAGTTTGCATGACAACGTGTTTGAAGGGTCAATTAGGAATTATTGACACCACAAAATGTGAACATATGAAAAAAAGACTACATGGAAAGTATGAGCACTAAAAAAAAAAAAACAAACAAATTAACCACCAACGTAGACGACTTAGGTGGTGTTTGGTTTTTATGTTTGGCTAAATAAGTACAAAAAAAAAAAAAAAAAAAAAAAACAAAAAAAAAGTCAAAAAATACAAAAAGCAAAAAATCACAAAAGGACAAAAAAAAAACCACTATTCCAAAGCTAAAAATCCAAAAAAGCCAATCAAGAACACCAAACGAACAAAAAAGTCCCAGGCTAAAAAAGTCAAAAAGGCAACTAAAAAAGTCATTGCCAAACGAAGGCTTAAGTCATTTAAAACCCAAAGTGAAAATTTTAATTGTGCCCCTTAATAATTTTTTACATTGTAATTTTAATTTTTTTTTTGATATTATAATTTTAATTTAAAACTCATAACATTCTCAATCAAAATAATTTTATTTATTTATATTGATACTAGCATAAAACCCGTGTTATGCACGACCTTAAACAAACAATTAAAATTTTATTTTTGAATTTAAATGGTAACAATTTTAAAAGTAAAAAGTAAAATAGTTAAAATAATGTAAATTAAGTTGTTTTTGAACTACACTCAAAATATTGTGTTACCATTAATGTTATATTTTAAGTATTATCTAACAATCTGAAGGGGTTGGCTTAGTGGGTGTAACCAATCCTATTACGTAGCTCGAAAAACAGTGACTCGATTGGCCCTAAAATCAAAACGACGTCGTTTTGATATATATATATATATATATATTTTCCCCCCTTTCTCTGTCCTGATCTGTGCCTCTTCTTCAACAAAGAAGAAGAAGAAAGAAAGAAAAAAGAAAGAAGAAAGAAGAGGAAAGAGAGAAGAGGGGAGCAGACCCAAATCACCCGAGCAGAGGGAGAGAGAGATCAACCAAAAATCAAATCCAAATACCGAACACAAAAAAAAAATAAAAAAATCAACAATAACATCTTCATCAACGCATCATCATCATCAACAACACCACCTTCATCAACATCATCATCATCATCAACACATCCAGATCCAGATCCACTAGAAAAAAAAAAAAAAGAAAACAGAGGAAGTGGCTATCGGCGACGATACCCACCGGCGATCGATCGGCGACGACCGCCATCACCTTCTCTTCCTCCTTCTCTCTCGCCTCTCACTTCTCTCGCTTTCTCTCACTCTCTCTCTCTTCCTCCCTCCCTGTTTCAGATACAAAACGAAAGAAGAGAGAAGAAGAAAAAAAAAAAAAAGAATCGCAAAATGACGTCGTTTTGCGATTCGGGCCAATCGAGCCTCGGAGCTTTCGAGCTATAAGCTATTTTTCTGGGTGTAACTTGGCGTATGTGAGTGTACTCTCCAGTTGTCAGATTTAACTTTCAGTAGGTGCTATCAACTCCTTGGGCCACGCCTACAGGTTTTACCTGAGATTTACCCGATTCACGTGATGGAGGACACTTAGCATGTGTTCCGGAATTATTTGAGGTACACATAAATATCAAAGCAACAAAAAAATTTCACTTAGAATTAAAAGTAAATATATTGTTTTATGTCAATTTCTTGTCCCATAGCAACATACAACTTTTAATTTACAATTACATATTGAAACTCAAATTAGATAATCAAATGAAAGAAAATTAAGTGGTACTAACCCATTTTCCTCCAATACCTATAAATTATTTCACTAATTTCTCACCGCTTTCAATTGCCTTTTTTTAGTCTCTTTAGTCAACCACCCTTTTTTCTAATGCCTTTCTCCAGCCACCTTTACGACTTTCAACCCAACTCAACAATTTGTTACAGCTCCTACCTATATTCTCCAATCTATACCCTACTAACTAACTTACTCTTTGGGTATATTTGATTGGACGGGCTGGATAAGGGGATTAGAATCCACCGGACTTGAGTCTTGGGACTGTGAATCCCCTAGACTATTTGGTTGGATTAGATATGTATCATGTGTTTGTTTTTTCATGGGATTAGATGTCTGGAAATGACTATTTTTAGTGAATCCAACGTTTGATTGGACGGACTGGATATGATAAATGAACAAAAGACTATTTTATCATTTTTCAATTGTTTACTAAGTAATAGCAATATTAAACATATCTTTAATATTTTAATTATTTTTAGTTAGATTAAATAAAGGGAGGGCTTCTCCTCCCTCCTAGAAAGGTTCCAAGAAGTTCCAGAGCTCTGAGATTAGGGTTAGAGGATTGTGTATCTATTCTATCTCTATATCTCCTTCTCCTTGCATTTTGTGTGTGTTTAAGGTGTTTTTGTTCATAGTTTTGCATACAAACACCTAGTGCTACACTTTCCTTTAGCTACTGAGGTACTAAGGAGTTATTTTTAGAGTTCTTGAGTTGATCTAAGCTTGGAGAGGCCGCTGGAGCATTGTTCTTGAAAGAGGTCTTCAAGGGTAAGAACTTTACCCCTTTATTCCCCATTTTTGCTTAGGCTTTTAGCCATCCTTGCATATGTTTTTAAGCTTAGTGTATAACTAGTAAAAGTTATATTTTTACTTGCTTTTAGTAGTTGTTTAAGGTCTCTTTGAGGTTTGGGGTTGTTTGACTCTTCTTAGGCCTTGTTTGGCCTCATTTTT